AGCAGCAGATACCACAGGTTGGCGAATCAGCAGATATAACACAACTAGAGCAATGGGTAATATGAGGACGGATACATAACAGATGAAAGGAATCCTTAATGCTTTCATTGCTATTCGGTTTTTATTAGAACACACTTGAGAACCGCAGTAAATACCCATTTAATGTCAGTCAGCAACCAGTTTCAGATCTCAAATCAGCGTGATTGCATAAATTTTTGGTGCATATTTTTCTTTTTGTTTGTTTTCTGGTCCCCTGAAAATTTGTGAATATTAAACGGTGACGTATATAAAGAGTTATTCTGTACTGCTAAATTACCTATGAAGTTTCAGTTTGGAAAAACTAAACTAATGATTGTGAAACGGAGTAATTACAAAATCTGTTGTCGCAAGCCCAAGCATCTAAGCTCTACAATAATTCCTGATGCGTCTTGTTAATAGGTCACCAATCGAAGACTGTCAGGATCGTCAGTAAGTTACCCGTATATTCTTTGCAATGGATCAGAAACGGATATCATCCGGATACCCAAAGTTGGAAGTTCTGTAAGCGAGATGAGGCTTTGAAATTATTTAAAGCAAAAAACCCGCTACAAATAATTCAAATCGAGGAGACAGATGCCAACACTGAGACTCGACATTGCTATGTGGGTGTTCCTTGATCTGGACTAATGTGGAGGCTGTCTTGTTTCAAATACACTGATACCGGGTTGCCACGGTATTGCTGTTCCGAAAGCAGCACTCAGAGGAAATGTGTAAGAACCGATAGTAATTCTGTCACTCACATATTGATAGAAAATACAAAAAGGTAAGATGTGGTTTTACGATGTGTGCCGACTGCTGGGAGGTGACAGAGTTGAGGGGAAGTCATTAACCAATTCATACGAACGGGTTCATTTTAGAACAACCCCGAATGGGAAAATAACGCTTGATCGTTTCATTTACATGGTGGTGCAACCAGCGACTCTTGAGCAGTCACGTCTGTATCTTGAGGTTAGCCGCGTTTGCTAATGAAGTCATCAAAAACAAGTATCTTTGTTTGACAAAGGATTCACAGAAGTCGAGGCTGAACAGTGTCTCATGCTTTGATTTCGAGGCAGAGTGAGTATATTATACAAATGACCTGACGGTCTCCACCGCTATCCTAGTAAAGCCTGCCTGATTCCTTCTGCCTTTTGGAGAGGTTTACCTGTTCACAGGGAAGGTTTTAGAGGAGATCACGTCCACATTTCAAGCAGCATATCATTTTGCAACGTTCACGAACTTTCCTGTGGTTCTAGGGTATTTAAACCACCGATGGAATCAGCCATATCAATATGAGTCTGTTAACCTGTTGACGCTATTCGGGGCCCGGTTTGTCTGAGGATGATGAGAAAATTATCTAAAACGATGTTTGAATTTGTTCTAATTGGGCTAAACAAAGATTTCATGAGCTATATCCGTAGATGAGGTTTTGGTTTTCTTGGTCGGTAGACGAAAAATAATTGGATATCATCATTGTTTTCACAACTATCTACAATGTTGCTATAAAACTCCGACCTGGATGTGTAAGAATCGGGACATCGAATTCAGCGGAAAGGACCGCAATTCACCTTCATGGGCAAAGTCTGTGTTCAGGAATGTTTTGTGGAAACTCCCCTTTGTCACTACAGAAACCACTTACTAACCGAATATAAATACTTGGTCACTGGCACGAACAACAAGCAGGTGAAAGCAATCTATATATTGTCACCGCGGGTTTTATTATCTGTAGCTCATTCGCCACAGCTACTCTGCACTGAATCGCAACAGAGCTGGAAAATTTATCTTGCTGTTCCAAGTTCCGACCATTTGAAATTTTGTTCATTTCATACAAGTAATGTACGGGAATTTGTGAATTTCGACTATAATGGTCCGGACGCACGGAAGAGCAACCACGTTGTAAAAAGCCTGAAATCGCACAAATATGACTAGCGATTTCTCACTTAAGCGCACGTAAACTGCTCCTTACTTCACAGTAGGATTTTTTTTTGGATGTTTGACTCCAGATGAAGTCATAATTTAACAGTGCCGCCAAAAAGTGTTTTCTCAACCTATGTCATTTCAGGTGCAATTTCGATTGGTCATAAGTGCGTCCTCCACATCGCGCGGGTTGTATCGGATTCACCCTGCTGCCCCTTCAATTATTATCGAATATCAGCGTGTTGAACAAGAAAGAAATCCCGGACAAGCTCCACACAATTCTGGGTCTGATCTTCATTACATCTTAACCAGCTTCCCAACTCTCAGTTGAATCTGGACATTCATCACTAATCTGCACATTCTGATTTTCCGCTATTTATACCACTTAAAAATATAGCAACCTTATGAGTAGCGTCTTGTTGTTAAAGATATACGCTGCGATATCTCTGATGTCGCGGCAACTCAAAAGAGGGACGGCAAGTTCACTCGTAGAATGACGCAGAAGAAGGCTCAAATTGAGTCTCTCGTGATATATTGATGCAAATTGCAAATGAGTGCATTTCGCCGATAGCATACAGTTTGGTGTCTAAGTAGAACATCAGGTTAATGGAAACTCGGGGATTGAGGCTGCGGCAGTGGGCACCCTAGAGATTTTTATGTCGAGGAAGCAGACTGACCTACTTCAGCAAGCTTCATCACTGTCGCACTTTACGAGTACAACTGCAAAATACTTCTTTTGATTTTTCCTTCCTCGATCTCTCTAAAGGTGGATCTGCACTTCTTATCAGAGACACTTTTTTCCTTCCTCGATCTCTCTAAAGGTGGAACTGCACTTCTTATCACGTCATCCGCATGAACGCCGCAGTCGGAAACACTTAAAGCAGGATCCAGCGGAGCCCCACAAGTCTTCCGAATGTAATCCAATTCCGCAGTTTACAATTTGTTTTCGGGGTAGTGACCACGGGTTTCATATGAGTAGAACCAATGTTTTAATGCTAAAGAAGGAAATTCCTTCCGTAGTGTTAGTATTTTGCCATATTTTGTTCGTCAACTCACTGATATCGTTAGTACTCGCTTCACTGGTCAACCACGATTTACACTAAACTACATCCAATTTTTGCGACCATTTAGAAGCGAAACATTACCATCGGACGCTCCTCGGTTTTACCTTCAATGCGGAACAGCTCCAGGTTTACAGAGGAAGAGCAGTCTCATTACAGAAACACAAGTTATCTTTCATTCAGTTCAGCAATATCCTCTCGTCAATAGTCCGAGGAATGGTCTGCCATAAACTAGTGCTGTTTGGTTGCATAAGGTTTGACATTTGAAGCTGCTCCATTTCTTCTCTTCATTCTTCACCTGTTCCGAAATTTCTTAGTCCAAACGTCAATATGTTTTAACCCCTAGATCGACCGAGCCGTCCATCAAAACCCAGTCCTCTCTTATGGCTATCCTCTTTACACCAAAGTATTCTGGCGATATTACGGAACGTAGGTAGCCCGGGTGCGCTACTTGTTTGCCGAGCTTGGAGGTTGAACTGCAAACGTTTCATCGTTAATCAAGCCGACATCGTCAGTTCCACCCAACCCTTCACTGACAATGCCAGCTCGACTGGTGACGAAACGTTTGCAATCAAACTGGAAAGCTCGGGGACAGACCAACAACCAACCAGTAATTCTTTCAATTGACTTTGAAACATAACTGATGTCTTTTTTCCTTAGTTTCGGTTGAAAGTCTTTGTTGGTTTACGCAGAATTTCACTCCTCTGCAAACATGTGCTGTTTCATAGATTTGCTTTTAATTATGCGTAATGTCTGGCGATTGCCGGCGCCACATCTCATCATTTTATCCTAAATCGCCTAAGATTTTTAGCTACGGAAGATGCTATGAAGGCGCCATCCATACTGTTGTACGCACCATACAGAAAAAGTGATGTGAACTAAGTCTGACTGCAAGATGATGATCACTTGGCATCAGACCATTTTCCGCATACACAGAAGCTCTCAACCATTTGTAAGGGGGTTGCTTTGATTCCGCAAGAGTGTCACTCCACAGAGGTCGGGTGTTTCCTTCTGAGTTGCCGGGTGGTGCGCTTTGCGAGCAGGGAAAATTCAAATTTCAAAAAAATTAAAAACAAAATTGCTTCCTCCGAGGTATTTTCCGACGTTTTTTTGTAAACAGGAAGGGGCTATCTTAGATGAAGGTATCTCATAAATGTGAAATGCCTTGTTACCCAATATCAGACTGGGCATATCGTATCGGTCACCCTCACCGAGCGGATGTCAGAGTGATTGACACAGTGCTTAGGAATCAAATATCATCACTTTATTTTATTCCGCCCACATTTGAGGATGCAGTGAAACTGCTTATTAGAGGTCTTGTAAGTGTAGCTAGTGGGCCACTTTATTCTCCTTGCTTTCCTCCTAAAACCTTTCAGGCCATCCACAATCGTACATTGTTATAACTTACTACATTGTTTTAAACAGAAATTGTGTTTGATAGGCCCGCACGAAACATCAAACGCTAGTTGGCAATCAGGTCGTTTCTACCCACACCACTCTCGGCTGACATCGTAGAAACGAGCAAAGACAACTGCCTTTTGGTGATTTTCCAAACCAGGTTATCATTTTCCAGTGATTACAGACGTACAGGGGAAGACACAGAAGAATATGGATCCATCTGACCGGTGCGTCGTGCAACCCGCCAATCTACACGCTGTCATGGTTACTTCTTACTGGTTGAACGGGAATGCCAGGTGTAGTGGGTCCGGATGCGGTTACTGCCGTTAATTGTCAGGTGTTTATGCACAGAAGGGTGATCCTGGTAGCATGTGTACTCGCTCATCTAACTAAGAGGCATGTTCAAATACGATCATGTTATTTTGCTGGCCGAGGAGGCCACGGGAGAAGATTCATCCTCAAAATGTGTAAGTTGCGAAGTAAATCACACTAAGCCACTGTGAGGCTTTCCATTTTGGGAGACAAAAGGTCTTGCATGGAAGTACTTGTCGAGGGAATGCTACAGTTGAAAGAATTGATTCAAAATTTTCTAAAATGTGACTCACTTGGCAGACCGATGCCAATGTCATCTTGCATGTCATTACTGCACACCGATTCGGAAGTTACAGACGCTAGAATGTCGATTTGCCGATTGTGTGCGTACCGCTCGAGTGCACTGAATGTACCATCGGGGTTCAGATTCTCCTCGGTTAGTCCACTGAGTTGTGGCTTCATCTTCTTGGAAGGCTGTTTTCGGAATGCGGTTGCTTGATCAGTGGACTGGAGTCGCTGTGCTGGCTCATGTATATTTGGCAGGTGAGATACACCCCCCTCTTTTCCATGGGCCTGAGTGAAATGCTGCAAGCGTAAGTAGAGGGGCTAATGATGTTCAACTGATTTAGATTGTAACGAATAATGATCTAGTGTAAAATGAAGAAGGGTCATACCCTAGTACCCCTCTGTAGTTAGAGCACAGAAGTATGTTTCTAAACTGAGTTACTTATCCCATACATCGTCACACGTATAATATTATCCGCTTCTAGAGAATGAATGTTGGAGAATTTTCAGGCCGTCAGCAAAAACCTGACGATATTTAATTAAACGTCGGGACTCACTGGACACTGTGTAACGCTGCGAGGCTACACATTATTTTATGTAATTTATGAGCCGTTTCCTTGTGGCCAGCTTCTTGCACAAAAACACATCCGAAGTCAATCGGGAACAAATATTGGTCGACTTTATCAACTGGTGTTGCGCATTAAACCTTTCAATCTTCCAATGCTGGTTGACACTAGTAATTAACGTTGCTGCATCGTAAACTGTTGGTTGGGTGCTAAAGGATAACCGTAGTCCAGAGGGACCAGTGACTTTTTCGCCCTCCAATGGTATGAAATGAGAATAATTGGATTACGTATTCTGAAAGGCCTAAGGAAAACTTGGCTGATGAGCGACAACCTTGAATTTGTCTAATTTTGAGCTTTTTGTGTAACCGTCATCACTCACACAGGATACCCTCCGCCGCAAAAAAGATTCCTGTGAATCACTTCCTAGTCAACCAGGAATTTTCTGGGTATGTTATGTAGAAAATGCTGCATGGCACTAACTTAGAATGCACTTTTTACCTGATATGGTCAGTAGTGAACTGTTCTTACAAGATAAGGCCTCGTCCTACCTTCCGAAATCAACCTTCGTCAGACTTTCGTTATTGGGCAGGGATCACGTTCTCTTATGAACACGGTACAGGTAATTTGGGTCTTGTTTGGGCGCTTGCAGAAGGCTTTGTACTCCGCGTCTTGTCTTGGCTCGTTCCGACAGATATATGTGTACATGCTTCCCAAACGGCCGAGACGATTAGTTTTCGTTTGGCGTAGTATTTACCGTTCTGCGCTCCATTAAGTCACCTGTGTCCAGTAGCCGGCATAATGCTGGTACTGTTTATGCTACATTGTCGTCTACCTTTGTATTGCGTCACAGCGGTTTTTTTCACATGTATGTTGTCTCAAAATCAGTGCACCGCTGACCACTGTATGTGGGAGCATATAAGCAATAATAGTTCCAGAATAGTGTATCTGATGTAGTCCCACCTATATCCGGTGAAACACATACCCATTTTGTGAGCGAAAAACTTGTGATTGCTACATGTGTTCCCGTTACATCAATTAATCCTGTGCGATACTCGCTGGAAAAGAATAATCCCGTTTAGTTGGTTCGTGAACGTTGATCAGTAAATGGTCTCTTCTCTGAGTTGACGCTTAACCACGAAAACCCGTTACGATTCTCAATTAGCGTGTTACTCATCCGAATTCTGTTGCTTTTCAATACTGCATGAAAGCAACACAACACGATTGAATTTCGTTCTGTGAAGGCAGCTGGTAACAAACACAGGCTTGATTCACTAGCCTTGGCGTTTTTCAGTTAATGCATACGATTTCGTATCTGTGCTAATTACTCTGGGAGCGTGATTGTAGCGAAGCCATCTTTGATTTTGCATAAATATCACAGAAAAGAGAAACACTGGTCAAATGTAAATAAAACTTTCACTAAAAGCCGGATCTGGCACACGTGTAAGCAGGACTTTTTCGAGTGCATGTTGTTTCTCACGACGGAAGAAGAAACTCTAACACATTTCACTCATTGTAAATTCCCTATTTTTCGTGTTAGTTGCCGCATCGGCTGAGTAATCTCACAGTGCTAAGAACAGCACTAAATAACGAGCAATAATGTTTTCGAGATCTCGTGGTCAAGCCAGCGTACGGTTAGACTAAAGGTGATGGCTCATTTTCGTTTGCTGAACAAAATAAACTTGGAGCAACAAAAGCAGCAGTTTTATGCAAAAATGAAGCCTTATCGTATTGGACAACAGCTGATCTGAAATCTCGTTGAGTGTGTCAGTCTGGCAGCTTGTGTCACATGTCATCATCATCGTCATCATCATCATCATCGTCGCCATCATCTTAGACAATAGCGAAAAATGGTTCTGAGCTGTCATGGGACCATGGAGGAAGAAGAGACCAGTAAAACATTAAAAGTAATGTGAGAAGTTAGCGAAATGCACTCATTCACAAACAAATTTGGTTTTGCAATAGGCTCACCCGGAAACATCACAAACGAAAGATTCGGTTGGGTTTCAGGTGAGTGTCTCGCAAAACCAAGCTTGTTTGCGAATGAGTGAATTTCGCTAATTTCGTGCAATCTGGTTCCAAGTAGAACATAAAGTTGACGGGAACTCGGGGACTGCACCTACCTGATGAGCCCCAAGAGGAGTGAAACCGGTCGTGGGCTGTCGAAGAATTTTCAGCAACCTTATGAGTAGTGCATTTCGAATATAATGTGAGCAGTATTGTAAATGCTCCATGTCTTTAGAGTAAACGCCTCTTAAAACCATTGAGATAGAACATCTGAACATCATGTTGGAACAAGACACAATCAGCAAGGCAGACCGAACGTCTTGTGAGAAACCATCACTTAATGTCAGACAAGCGTTAGGTATACAGTCCTGCTAAGAAGTGGTAGTACACTTTCCAGTAGTGCTGGTTGTGGGCCACGTGTAAGGAGAATAACGTGGACCAGGAAGGCACGGATCTCCCACAGTGCTCGAACAGATACTAGCTGCTTTCATTTAGTATTGTCATTCAAGGCACTGTTGGTAACAATCGTTTGGAGTCGCAAACCTGGCTTTTTTGAGAGACGGTTGTCAGTACATGCCCTGCTCAAACGAATCCGACGCTGCCTTTCACTCGCGTTACATTGCGTTAACGCCCGCTATACTAGGGAGACAGTGGTGATCAGATACCTGAAGAAATCTGAAATATTCACATCAAAGTAGCCAACTTTCACAGACAGAGCGGGAGTGCTCTCACGGCCGTTTTGTAGACCGGATGATGTTTTTAGGACGTAAAATGCGACGCAGCTTGGCAAATGTTGTCCGTGCCCGACTTTTTATCCTCACTAACTTCACTTGTCACATAGCATCACTGTTCACTAAGCCGCCGAGATAAGCGAGCTTATCAACAAACTGAGGCTTTTCGCTCTGGAGTGCGGAGATGTGCATAGGAGCGGAAAGTTTTGAAGTTAAAACTACACTTTGAAGTCACAAATCACAAGCCGAAACAGGAGACCGCTTCCGGTATTCTGTTTACGTTGGTTTGTGCAAACTCGCGGTCGTCAGATAACAAAGCACTTTTATTCGCATAACCGAAATCTAATGATCCCTCTCCAGGTGCAATTTTGACAATCGAATTGGTGGATCTTTTGGGGTGGCAGCAATAACAAGCTTGAAAAAACTGGGAAAAGAGATATCCATCGCAAGTCACACTAGTTATGTGGATACTTTTGAATAAATCGGTATAAACTTTAACGTGCCCAGAATACTCAAAACCCCCGAGAGCTTTAATCTTAATCCATGTATTTATGGAAGAGCCAAACCATGCACGGAGTCGAAGGATCCCATAACGTCAAGGGAAACCACGACAATCGGTGGGCAGCATGTGACCTTGTTCAAGCGCATGACGTAATAGGGGATGGTAGTCAGCGCATCTCTACTTAGTATCACCTGGTGCTCTCGGACTCAGGCTGAGCGTGGTGAGATCAGACTTTGCTGTATTATTGAGGCTGGTAGTCACATTACAACTCAAGTAAGTCTTTTAACCCTATGGCTGGGGCAGTCAGTAGGGGGTGCATTTTTGAATAGAAGTGCAAAGGCAAATTTTTTTTGGGGTAGGTGGGTGAGTGCATTCTTGCTCCATAATTAATTTAAACATTTTAGTCATGGCAAAACAATCTGACCACTGTCTTTGAATAGTGTTTGTGAAGGTACTTCCATTACAGCGACCCAGTGGCGTTTTCGTGGAAAACGGCAATCCAGAAACCGAAGGTTGGCGCAACGTCTCAGGCCACGACATGAATTTAGCGATTTGGATGGCAAACCATGTAATAACTTAATGTTGATTTAAAAGTTTGTGTGTTCCTGTGATCGTTTTTCACACATATCCCACTCACAGGGACTGTAAATTTTTTGTAAGCTCATTGATTCACCAGACTTGATGATCATTAGGCTCAGTATGTGCTTGAAGAAACTACTTTTACGCTGTAAATTTAATGCGCTGTTTCAATTTACTCAACATTTTATTGAAGAACCAGTAGAGTTGTTGAGGACTCCCTACTTGGTCCCTTTTTAGTGATATGTTTATGAGAAAGCCCAAACGTGATGAATCGAATGACGGGATTAGGCGCATACATTTTCATCGACGACATGTAGAACTTTTTCTTCTCGTCTGAGGTCACTCCGATGTTGTCATCTTCTCGCAAATATTAACCAAACTTATTCTATCATTGATTTCACTTTTGAAACCTAAACAAGCAGCTTGGCTCAGTTGTTTGGTGTTAGTCTTACCACTTTACCAAAAGGTTCATTACCGATCTGTACACAGAAAGCTCACATGGGCTCAACAATACACGAACTTCAGCAGCTTTGTGCTGCTGACAGAAAGGAAATTTGATGCACAATCTAAACGACCGACTTGGATGGGTCTGTTCCGGCGAGACAATAAAAGCTAAACTGAATCAAACCATTAACTTCCTATGAGCTAACTGTTATCCAGACAGATTTGTGACCAGGCTTCATGACCTGCTAAACAGACAATAAAGTACGCTGCGGAGAAACAAATTTACATGGGTCTATCATACAACGGGCGAACTGTTACTGGACATAATCATAGCTGTGTATTCAAGTCTTCACAAAAAACGTTTCCGGTACGGAACTTCGATTTTAACCCCAAGGATGAGATGCCGGCACACAACTAAAGTTTTGCGGTGTTTGCTTTCTCTTGCTTTTGTTGGGCACATGACGCACCAACTTGGGAACTGAGTACCCGTCATGCAGAAATAACGGCAGACTTTTCTATCGTCTCACATACCATGGCCACTGGTCACATGACCAGCCTGATGAGTTGTTTGGGGTCGTACCCCACAGGTTGCCGTTATCGATCCAAATGCGTGGTTAGGGGGCAGTCACAACAGGGCTACGTGAGGTATCGATCCAAATGCGTGGTTAGGGGGCAGCTGAAACAGTCACAACAGGGCTACGTGAGTCGGCCCACACGTGACCAACACTTCACCAACTACGAAGTTCGGCACACACCAACTGGTCCGACCGTCATGAGACAGGTTACACAGGACTACGCAACTTTCTAATGAGGGATTCCAGGGACACGTCAGCCTGAGTTAACTACCTGGCCACAGTCGGCGCATTGGTAGACATCTGTTCAGCCTTATTTGGGTCCAGCAGGTCGATTTACGAAGCAATAAATTTATAAGTTTGCGTCTCAAAAGGCGACTAAGCACAATACCACAGCACAATAATCAGGTGCGTAAGAAGCTACCTGATTCAGTAGCTCCGTGTGTTGTTAGACCATGTCTTGGAAAGTGTCATTACCCACACATGGGGCGTGATAGATGCATGCCAGTCACAAAAAGACCAACTAATGTCGAGCGACAGTGAAATCACAAAAATGAGTAATATCAGGCTTTCCTACTTGCCATTTTCATCGTCCTAACCTCGAAAATCACCTGAGTTTCGTGGTGAAAAAGTGAAACTAAATTAAATGACTGAGGCTTTGTTAAACTAGTGAGGTAGTAACCTCGTAATACTAGCCGTTTTCCTCTACGGATTAGCCTCACGTGACCGACCGTTGTTTCAGCCCATTGTACTTCGGTCCAAAGTATCAGCTGACTGCGCTGGCGGCAGCCGGATTGCTGGAGCTTACCTGAAAATCAGCGACAGGCAGCCGACGCTCAAGCAAGCAAGTAAATAGTCAACTAGTACGCGTGAGTTCGCGATTGCTGATCTCGGCAGTTCGACCGCACTTTTCCCACGGGAGCTGGGTCAGCTTGATCGGTACTTTTTGACAAAAGTGGTGTTATGAATCGAAATCAATCCTATTGTTGCTGTAGACTTCATTCCTGTGTTTTGCTGATGAGGCCAGAAAAAGCGCCCATCTGCAATCTGGTAAGTAGAACGTCGTTGTCAACTGTATATGCTCTCCTGAAGCGTAATACTTCGGATCGCAATCATGCTTATTTCACATACGGGCAACAGCATCACTGTCCATATTTGATAGCTTTAGCTGGTGAACTATAGACCCGAGCTTCATCCATGCTTGGATTCATTATTAGTAAAAATCCATGTCAGCAGACGTGATCCGACTACAAATTCACTAGCACAACCCAGTCGCGCCTGTGTTTCCTGGTTTCAACCGGCAGGTCTGTGTGTTTCTGAGTGTCTTGTCCCCCGGTATTCAAAAACGCAACTGTTGAGGTGGTGTCCCGATGGTTGATCTGGTGTTCGAACTTGCTAAGACCTTGGGGCGACTTCAGACCTTACTCATTTGAACCGCCTCTTGTCCGGACGCAGCTATTCGCACTCTTGACACACTTGTTGGGGTGAACAACTTGGAACTCCAATAGTAGAGCAACACAAATCTGTGTTTCTTCCTGGTGCTAATCAGAATAATCCGAGGTTTCTTCCGGGTTGCTTCTGAAACGGTCCAAACATATTTTCAAGTCCTGTCAAACGAGAATATCCAATGCTATCTGGATCATGCATGGACTCCCTTATCTGTACATTTTCTACGGCAATTTCAACTATGTGGACAGGAAAAACAAAGCAGGTTACTAACCTGGACGTCATGCTGAATAGTGTTCAGTTCGGATAACAGTTCTCGGAGGACGACAGCTGTGGTTTGTGGGACTGGAAGGTGAAGACCCATCAATTTCTGGCTAACTATCTGCTGGTAGGCTTGTTCGCCTGGTGTCGCACAGCATAGGTTAGCCATCTACAAAACAAGTGACATACGATTAGGCATTTGTTATTCTTGTACAAGAGGTCTTGATCAGGGGAAGTGAGAAGAAACAACCAATATCATTTGTTAGTCTTTGCTACATGTTGGCTGGATAGCTAGTCGGCGTATTTCATATAACCACAACATAAATGGTCCGTTGCTGCCATTTATGTCTCTTACGTTTGGGACACCAGCCACCTCATACTGTTATTCAATACATTTATCCTTCTTTCAAAAGACCGATACTTTCTTTCTTCTTCGTTGTACTGTCAAAACTAGTTACGAAATGGACTAAGTGGTTAGAGCGCGAATCTACTGACCGGAAGGTCCGTTGTTCGAACCCGACCTCTGCCTCTCGACTCCCCCTGTCTAGGCTTGTCAACCTGGCATTATTTTAGACCTCGTGCCTCCTGGTGGCATGGTAGCTTGGCACCGAAAAGGTGCTACAGCTGAACGACGATTTGCGAGTACGATTTATAAGCAAACAGACGTGACGAACCCTTTGTTGTCTGAGTGGCAAAGGGAGGCCACCCTCATAGCCGACTCCAAAGTGTGTTGTTCTTTGAGGCGTCTGAAGGAATGCCACTAAGAAGGAAAATGCATTTGGGATTCAATAGACAGGGACTGGTCATAATACTGACGCCTATTGTTATGATGAAAGTACTACTTCCGTGAGAGTTGAGTGGAACCTAATTCCCAGGCGCTCACAGTACCGCCTCTCACACAATACAAATGAACCAGGGATGAACTCATCAAAGGGAAATCGTTGAACGTAAAGACCTATTCGATTCCGACTTTCTAACAAGTCAAACCAGCCTAAACTTCATTTTGGGTTTGCTCATTCATGTTCCATCTCAGTGTGTTGTTAGTGCATATATAGAGTGAATCTGCAACTTTTTATTGATTCAGCCTCTAGCTAAGTTATTTTTTATTTTCCCTGCTGATAAGTTTCGATCTTACAAATCAGGAAGACGGGCTATCTAGATTGGGAAAAGTAAAATCTTCAAGAAGTCCGATTTAAAATTTTCGGTCTGGTAAAGAAAGGTTACACAATATCACTGTGATATTAAATATTGTTATGTTCAGGTCAAATCTAAAATTCCAAGTATTCATCTGGTCGTCTTTAGACGTACTCACTAAATTCAATGTTGGGTTAACACTTGAGAAAACTGCTAGTTGTACTATAAGCGGAAAGTTATTCGGACATTCCAAGCAGGTAGTTTACTGTAAATCACATAACCTCTTAGGGTTGATTGGATACTGACTGAATCCGATGTATAGTGGAACCGAAATAGTATGGTTTGGAATTAGTCCTAATTTCCTGTTTCACTTGCGGTAGCAGGATCTTTGGATGCTACTAAACAAATGGTATGCTGATGTTGGTCTCTAAATAAAGGGAGAAATGTTTAGTTCACAAAGGGGGAGTGAGCCTTCTGCGGGCATTCAACAAATCTTTCACGCACCAAACTGTCGGTTGTTGAGATTAAAACCAAACACTTGTTGAAAGAAAGCGTATTCAGGTGTGGATAAACGACATTCTGGCAGCTTTATACGTTCATATCACTTCTGGGAATCTCGCTGCATCACGTACCTTCATCACACCAGGATGTAGG